GGCAAGGACAAGACAGTCGTCAGAGAGGAAAACAAATTGGAAAGCGCCGCGTGCGCCACCAAGGTCTCTCAGGTGTCTGCATCTGCCCCGCGCGTAGGGCAGATTGGCGGAGCGGAGGGGGGGAAGGAGAGGGGGACGGCCGGCCCCTGCAGGACTGCAGGAACTTTTCGCCGCCACGGGCCCCTGCTCGAAGACAGATCTGGCAGTGGTCGCAACCTGTGTCCAACACCCAAGCAGGAGAAAATGCCAACGGGAAGCAGATGCATTGTGAATGCCCTTGTCTGCTATCCCAGCGCCGCAGACGGCCCACGAAGCCCCCAAGATCGCCCCAAGATGCCCCCACGAAGCCTTCAAGAGGGCCCCAGCCGGCCCCCCACAAGAGCGCCCGAGGCTGACCAAGAGGGCCTAAAGACGGCCCCCAGCGAGAGCAGGCCGATGGAGAACCCGAACGCAAATTTTCAAGCCCTCGGCACCGACGGCACCCCCACTACCACCTGCCAACGCCTGTCTGCGCCCACGCGCTGGCCGAGCGATGGAAGGGCACTGGCGCCAGGCCAGGGCACGCGTGTCGCCGCAACTGGGCGTGGAGACAAGGGTTGGGCTGAAGGGCTGTCCTGTACCGATGTCTCCTGACGACAACTATACCGTGTACACCATCCGGAGGCGCGGCTGGTTCGGGGGAGCTACTCTGCACGCGGCTCAGCGCCCCAAGCCTCTGCATTCGGTCGAGGGCCCGCGCCTCCACCGCCGACCTCGGTCGGGCCCCTTGCCCTCGCCACGGCGCAACGCCAACCCCGCAGGCCCGCGCAGGCAAGGTGGCTGCATTTTTCGCTGTCTTCCTGTTCGCGGTCGGGGCCCATGCCCTCGCCGCCAAACACGCACCGCAACCCCGTGCCTGGGTGCTGTTCCTTTTCGCGTGCGCGGTCGAAGCCCATGCCCTCGCCGCTGAGACCCCGCAGGCCCGTGCCGGAGGAGCCGCCGCGAATGGCGCTCGCGTCGGTGCCCTCGCCGTAAAGTTACCGCCACAGGCCCGTGCCTGGGCGGCCCTGCCTGTCGCGCACGCGGTCGGGGCCCGCGCTCTCGCCGTCGAACAACCACCGCAAGCCCGTGCTTGGGTGGCCGCCCCGTTTGCGCACGCGACGGGGGCCCTTGCCCACAGCCCCCCTTCCAGAGCAGGACCCGCGCCCTCGCAAGCAGGCCCGTGCCCGAGGTTCTGGGCCGGGCTTTGTTGCGCGCTTGCCCGCACGCACTGTCACACAAGGCGGTCACTGCCAGTGCCTTCACCCTGCCTGAAACGCGCTGCGCGCGTGGCACGCCGAGGATAACTCCAAAAAAGCGCCCAAGGAGTCCCCAGGCCCCCTCAAAAGGCCCTCGCCCAAAGAAGCCCCCTAAAAGGCCCCAAGAGGCCTCCCCGAAGGGCCCCGAAGAGGTCCCAAGAGGCCCCCAGACGGCCGTCAAGGCCCCCAGACTGCCCTCAAAGCCCTCCTACTAGCACCCCAGACAGAAAGAAAGAAAGAAAGAAAGAAAGAAAGAAAGAGAAGAAAGAGAATAAAGAGAAGAGAAGAGAAGAGAAGAGAAGAGAAGAGAAGAGAAGAGAAGAGAAGAGAAGAGAAGAGAAGAGAAGAGAAGAGAAGAGAAGAGAAGAGAAGAGACGAGACGAGAAGAGAAGAGCGGAGAAGAGAAGAGAAGCGAAGAGAGGAGAGGAGAGAAGAGAAGAGCGAGAAGAGAAGAGGAAGAGAAGAGAAGAGAAGAGAAGAGACGAGAAGAGAAGAGAAGAGAAGAGGCAAAAGGGAAGGGCAGCGAAAGGAATATAAGAGAAGCGAAGAGAAGACAAGAGAAGAGAAGACATTAGAAGAGAAGACAAGACAAGAGAAGAGAAGAGAAGAGAAGAGAAGAGAAGAGAAGAGAAGAGAAGAGAAGAGACGAGACGAGCCGAGACGAGACGAGACGAGAAGAGAAGAGAAGAGAAGAGGAGAGGAGAGGAGAGAAGAGAGGAGAAGGTAAGGGAAGGGAAGAGAAGGGATGGGAAGGGAAGGGAAGGGAAGAGAAGAGAAGAGACGAGACGAGACGAGACGAGACGAGACGAGAAGAGAAGAGGAGAGGAGAGGAGAGGAGAGGAGAGAAGAGTAGGACAGAGAAGAAAATCTAACAGAAGAGAGAGACGACAAGAGAAGAGAGAAGAAGAGAAGAGAAGAGAAGAGGAGAGGCGAGGAGAGAGAGGAAGAGGAGAGGAGAGTGAGAGGAGAGAAAGAGTGAAGAGAAGAGAGAAGAGAAAGAGAGAAGAGAAGAGAGAGAAGAGAGAGAAGAGAGAGAAAGAGAATCCCCCCTAAGAGAAGAGGAGAGGAGAGAGAGGAGAGGAGATGGATAGGAGGGAGAGGGAGAGGAGAGTAGAGGAGAGGGAGAGGGAGAGAAGAGAAGAGAAGCGAAGCGAAGCAAGCGAAGCGACGCGGACGCGACCGCGACGCGACGCGACGCGACGCGACGCGACGCGACGCGACGCGACGCGACGCGACGCGACGCGACGCGACGCGAGAGACGAGACGAGACTGAGAAGAGAAGAGAGAGAATGAGAAAGAGAATGAAGAGAAGCGGAAAGAGAAGAAGTGAGAAGAGAAGAGAAGAGAAGATGAAGAGAAGAAGAAGGAAGGAGAGAAGAGAAGAGAAGGAAGAAAGAGAAGAGAAGAGAAGAGAAGAGGAAGAGAAGAGAAGAGAGGAAAGAGAGGAAACGATACGAGACGAGACGAGAAGAGAAGAGAAGAGAAGAGAAGAGAAGAGAAGAGAAGAGAAGAGACGAGACGAGACGAGACGAGAAGAGAAGAGACGAGACGAGACGGGACGGGACCGGACGGGACGGGACGGGACGAGACGAGACGAGACGAGACGAGACGAGACGAGACGAGAGGAGACGAGACGAGACGGGACGAGACGCGACGCGACGCGACGAGAAGAGAAGAGAAGAGAAGAGAAGAGAAGAGAAGAGAAGAGAAGAGAAGAGAAGAGAAGAGACGAGACGAGACGAGACGAGAAGAGAAGAGAAGAGAAGAGAAGAGAATAGAATGAGAACAGATATGAGAAGAGAATAGAAGAGAAGAGAAGAGAGAGACGAGCGAGACGAGACGAGGACGAGACGAGACGAGAACGAAGGACGAGACGAGACGAACGAACGAACGAGACGAGAAGTGCGACAGGGCAGAAGAGAAGAGCAGAGCAGAGCAGAGCAGAGCAGAGAAGAGAAGAGAAGAGAAGAGAAGAGGAGAGAAGATACGATAAGAGAAGAGAAGAGAAGAGAGAAGAGAAGAGAAGATACGAGAAGAGAGGAGAGGAGAGAAGAGAAGAGACGAGACGAGACGAGACGAGACGAGCCGAGAAGAGAAGAGAAGAGAAGAGAAGAGAAGATAATAGAAGAGAAGAGAAGAGAAGAGAAGAGAAGAGAAGAGAAGAGAAGAGAAGAGAAGAGAAGAGAGGAGAAGAGAAGAGAAGAGAAGAGAAGAGAAGAGAAGCGAAGCGAAGAGAAGAGAAGAGAAGAGAAGAGAAGAGAAGAGAAGAGAAGAGAAGAGAAGAGAAGAGAAGAGAAGAGAAGAGACGAGACGAGAAGAGAAGAGAAGAGAAGAGAAGAGAAGAGAAGATAAGAGAAGAGAAGAGAAGAGAAGAGAAGAGAAGAG